ATACAGTATATATTTGTAGATTGGCTTTCCAATTTTTGGTTTGAAGCTGGAGGTATTGTAAGCCACTAAAATAAAATAAATGTGCTGAGCTCAACATTTCCATCTCCAGCCCTCCTCCAGACTGCATTCTGTATGTGTGAAAAGATTTTCCGTATTGTAATTCAGTTGTCCAAGGCACACATGCTGCCTGTATCTGCCACAAACAGAATAATTGTTCTGTCATCGCTGTCAATAGTGAGGCGTATGGACAGTCAAGTTGTGGAGAGTTGTGGATTGTGCAAGTGAAAGACATCATGGCAATTACACTATGGGGTTGATTTACTAACCTTATAAACACACCACGAATGTGTATACACCTCTGCAGTGTGTTCCCTCCCAGCATGATCTATGGGTGGAATCTAAACACCTTTGTAATGTGTACACACCCAGCAGGTGTGTTGTGCAAAGCCCTGAATTAATTCCAAGGTGATGTTGTGTAAATTAGCTCTATGTTGTGTTGCTTGCGTTGATGAATGCAGGGATGTAAATGCATGAGCTAACCATTTTTGTCTAAACTGTGAAGCAGCATTATATATGCATCATGTGCATGATTTTTCCATATATGGCATTAGTGGAAATATGCTTTTAGAGACTTTTTGGTTGATAAATACGTTTTGCTGTGTGAAAATCACACACACCTGGTGTGTGTGTGTGTTTAGGTTAGTAAATCACAACCTATGAATTTCATTTCTGTTTATGTGGAGTGTAAGACTATTCAGATTTCTGTGGGCATAGAGAGAGATCCTTAAATACATTTTTAGAAATTATGTAAAGTAAGATTGTCATAACAGAATTACCTGTTTTACCTTTGCCAAACACTTTTAGAAATTGCTAGCTTTCTGATTAAAAAGTGGATACCTTGGTTTTACTACTCAAAAGCTAAGCATACCTTATGGACAATGTTTCATGTTACACCCATACTCAGGATGTAACACAAAACATGGTCACATTGCAATCCCACTTCCCACTCTCTGTCCCTTAATTACCTGAATTGTGGAGTTCTTCTGCCAGCAGGCTGCTGTTCTTTTTTGAATTCTGCATGGCTGTGAATGGCTCTGCCCGCATAGCCACTTCATCCATTCACAGATCCTGACAGGATCTGTGAATGGAGAAACCGCAGGTCCCATGACAGGATCTGTGAATGGAAAAACCACAAGTCCCATCAGCCACCGCAGCAGAGGGACTTCTAGTTCTCAATAAAATGCTTTATTGCAGTATAGGTACTGGTGTGATAGTGTGACTACCCTTTGGCTTTAAACCAGCATCAATTCTTACACTTGCTCAAAGTCAGGGATTTTGTAGGATTAGTTTCAGGTGTATGATTAACTAGTTATACCACGCAGGTGATAATGATCATCAATTTCAAGTATAGGTTGCAACACAGTCATTAACTGAAACAGAAACCGCTGTGTAGGAGGCTTACAACTGGTTGAGGAACAGCAAGACTCTGCTATTAATGTGAGGTTGTGGAAGACAGTTTCATGTCACAGGTCATTGACCATGGCAAGACTCAGCACGGAAACAAGACACAAGGTAGTTGTATTGCATCAGCAAGGTCTCTCCCAGGCAAAGATTTCATAGCAGACTGGGGTTTTAAGATGTGCTGTTCAAGCTCTTTTGAAGAAGCACAAAGAAACCATAGACGCAGTTGTCGGCCAAGGAAATTTAATGCATGAAAAACCCATCATGCTTACTTCCCTTCGACATCAGAAGATGTTCAGCAGTGCCATCAGCACTGAACTGGAGGAAACCAGGGGGGGCAAGGGACACCCATCTACTTTCCGAAGTGGTCTTCATGGCAGAATCGTGACCAAAAAGCCATACGACATGGAAACTCAACTATGCATGAAAACATAGGAACTGGGGTGCAGAAAAATGGCAGCAGGAACTCTGGACAGATGAGTCAAAATGTCTCCCTATTGCTATGGCAAGTTGTCTGAAAGAGGACAATGTTTCCCAGTGCATGACAAACACAATGGTTTCTTTTCTTACTATATATTACGGTATATGGGCACAGTAAGATTTGTATCCTCATTGTACCTGCTTGGCAAAATGAAATCGTATTTTCTGAAAAAACACTTTATGAATAAGCTTCAAGAATTGAAGAGGTCACACAGAGTGGTGTGCAAGTTGAAAGCATAGCTAAATAAGCTACAAATATCATTAGAATGTTCAAATGTGCAGAAGTAATACCTACATCCTCCCTCAAGTAGTTGGCTGAAATTGCAGACTGAAGAAAATTAGATTTTCATTTTAAAGATAAAATGGAAACAAAAAATTAACCATACCAATTTTCATGCATACAAAAGTTGCACACAAAGCTTGGTCAAGAATACATTCACATTTTCGTACATAAAAAACATAATGAGGGGCAGGATGAGCACAAATGTACAAATGGAAATATTATCCATTACAATTCAGGTTTTTATTTTTAAAGTGCTGACTCTGACCAACCTGATCAGCATTGCCGGTTTAGAGATGATACTGTCGTTTAAAGTGACATTAAACTCAGGAGTTAAATCTTAAAAATCCTCAAATCATCTTGATGCTCAAATCTCAAATCAATTGGCGCTGACACTGTCCCTCCTTCTGGAGGGTGACTACTTTTGTTCCCCATGGTTCCTGTGTGTCTTGTAAAGTAGCCACCACTCCAAGCTCACTCCTGTGATGAACTACAATCTCAATACAAATTAGTAAACTAAATGTGAGATTGTAGTCTATCATAGGAGTGAGCTTTGAACGGTTACTACTTTACAACACACACAGGGCCCATGGGGAACAAAAGTAGCCACCCTCCAGAAGGAAGGACAGTGTCAGCACAAATTCAGAGATGATTTGAGGTTCTACAGCTGAGTGATACACAAATAAGATACATATTTGTTAAAGGAGAACTATGAGATGAGTGATTTCCACTCACCTCATAGTTCTAGCCGACCTGTGACAATGAGACTGTCACAGGTCGGCTCAGTAGATCGGGAGGTGAGTGAACACATACCGGTTCGCTGACCTCTCGATCCTGTCACGGCTCTCTGCCGTGACAGGGGGAGGGGCTGGATTCCCCTCTCCCCGCTCCAATCTGCCAGCGCTGAACGGACGGGGGAGGGGGTGGGTACAGCTGGCTCTGCCTCTAGATAGGCAGAGCCAGCTGTCACTCACGCAGCTGGGCGGATCCCGTTATCTAAGTCGGGATCCGCTCCGGCTGCGGCGTCTCAGTATACCGCGAGCTGTAGCTCGCGGTATACTGAGCTTAGGGTAACGGGAGGACGCTAGTTTGTGTCCTCCCGTTACCCTAAGGAGAACTATGGGGAAAAACACTGACCCCATAGTTCTCCTTTAATAGTTAAGGCACTTGAATGCATTTTTAAGATATAACTCCTGAGTTTAGTGTCACTTTAAATCCTGTGGCCTGTACAGTTCTTAGATGTGCCCAAAAAATTTTGACACAGAGCAACCCCCCTGTTGCTACCGCTCACCTTTTGACTTGCTACAAAGGTTGCAGTCTGATCACTGGGGGAGCCCATAAAAAATGCTCCCTTTGCTGATTGATGACATTAAGCAAGCCAAGGCAAAGTCAACTGATTGGGACTCGTGGACTGCTTTTATTATAATTAATAAAACCGATTTATTTTTGTTAAATGACACTTTTACTGTATAATGTGACATGCCAGGAATGTATTCATTCAAACATGTCAGGTTACGAAAAGGTCCACTTTATAGTATAGGTGAATTGTTGATTAGAAAAAAAAGCCTCTGGAGGTGTTTGTCATAATGAGACATGGTATGCACAGCAAATTAGCACATTATGGCTGATTTACCTTGTAGGTTATCCCCTCCAGCGCTGCACTGTCCACTCTACCCTCCGTCATCGGCGTTTCTATGTGTTCACCTAGTCTTCTACCTGGTTCAGCATCTTTGACATCTGGATTGGCCAGGCTGGCATGATGTAACTCCCAAGCATGAGCACAGGAGTTACTCCATTTCAGCACAGGACCTTGCCGAGTCTGAGCATTCAGCTGCACATGTGGCTCAGTTCACAGAAAAAAACGCAATTTTAAATAAAATACTTTACTTCCACTTTAAAATACAGGAAATAAAAAT